TTTAACTAGTAGCTTCATCTGGTAGCTTCGTAGCTTTGGTAGCTTCATCTGGTAGCTTAACTGGTAGTTTCATCTGGTAGCTTCAACTGGTAGCTTTTAACTGGTAGCTTGAACTGGTAGCTTGAACTGGTAACTTCATCTGGTAGCTTTTAACTGGTAGCTTCAACTGGTAGCTTTAACTGATAGCTTCAACTGGTAGCTTTAACTGGGAGCTTTAACTGGTAGCTTTAACTGATATCTTCAACTGGTAGCTTTAACTGGTAGCTTCAACTGGTAGCTTTAACTGGTAGCTTCAACTGGTAGCTTTAACTGATAGCTTCAACTGGTAGCTTCAACTGGTAGCTTTAACTGATAGCTTCAACTGGTAGCTTTAACTGATATCTTCATCTGGAAGCTTTAAATGGTAGCTTCAACTGGTAGTTTCAACTGGTAGCTTTAACTGGTAGCTTCAACTGGTAGCTTCAACTGGTAGCTTCAACTGGTAGCTTCAACTGGTAGCTTTAACTGGTAGCTTCAACTGGTAGCTTTAACTGGTAGCTTCAACTGGAAGCTTTAACTGATAGCTTCAACTGGTAGCTTCAACTGGTAGCTTAACTGATAGCTTCAACTGGTAGCTTTAACTGATATCTTCATCTGGTAGCTTTAAATGGTAGCTTCAACTGGTAGTTTCAACTGGTAGCTTTAACTGGTAGCTTCAACTGGTAGCTTCAACTGGTAGCTTCAACTGGTAGCTTCATCTGGTAGCTTTAACTGGTAGCTTCAACTGGTAGCTTCAACTGGTAGCTTTAACTGATAGCTTCAACTGGTAGCTTCAACTGGTAGCTTCAACTGGTAGCTTCAACTGGTAGCTTCAACTGGTAGCTTCAACTGATAGCTTCAACTGGTAGCTTCAACTGGTAGCTTTAACTGATAGCTTCAACTGGTAGCTTTAACTGATAGCTTCAACTGGTAGCTTCAACTGGTAGCTTCAACTGGTAGCTTCAACTGGTAGCTTCAACTGGTAGACTTAATTGGTAGCTTTAACTAGTAGCTTCATCTGGTAGCTTCAACTGGTAGCTTCAACTGGTAGACTTAACTGGTAGCTTTAACTAGTAGCTTCATCTGGTAGCTTCAACTGGTAGCTTTAACAGGTAGCTTTATCTGGTAGCTTCAACTGGTAGCTTTTAACTGGTAGCTTGAACTGGTAGCTTGAACTGGTAACTTCATCTGGTAGCTTTTAACTGGTAGCTTCAACTGGTAGCTTTAACTGATAGCTTCAACTGGTAGCTTTAACTGGTAGCTTTAACTGGTAGCTTTAACTGATATCTTCAACTGGTAGCTTTAACTGGTAGCTTCAACTGGTAGCTTTAACTGGTAGCTTCAACTGGTAGCTTTACTGATAGCTTCAACTGGTAGCTTCAACTGGTAGCTTTAACTGATAGCTTCAACTGGTAGCTTTAACTGATATCTTCATCTGGTAGCTTTAAATGGTAGCTTCAACTGGTAGTTTCAACTGGTAGCTTTAACTGGTAGCTTCAACTGGTAGCTTCAACTGTAGCTTCAACTGGTAGCTTCAACTGGTAGCTTTAACTGGTAGCTTCAACTGGTAGCTTTAACTGGTAGCTTCAACTGGAAGCTTTAACTGATAGCTTCAACTGGTAGCTTCAACTGGTAGCTTTAACTGGTAGCTTCAACTGGTAGCTTCAACTGGTAGCTTCAACTGGTAGCTTCAACTGGTAGCTTTAACTGGTAGCTTCAACTGGTAGCTTTAACTGGTAGCTTCAACTGGAAGCTTTAACTGATAGCTTCAACTGGTAGCTTCAACTGGTAGCTTTAACTGATAGCTTCAACTGGTAGCTTTAACTGATATCTTCATCTGGTAGCTTTAAATGGTAGCTTCAACTGGTAGTTTCAACTGGTAGCTTTAACTGGTAACTTCAACTGGTAGCTTCAACTGGTAGCTTCAACTGGTAGCTTCATCTGGTAGCTTTAACTGGTAGCTTCAACTGGTAGCTTCAACTGGTAGCTTTAACTGATAGCTTCAACTGGTAGCTTCAACTGGTAGCTTCAACTGATAGCTTCAACTGGTAGCTTCAACTGGTAGCTTCAACTGATAGCTTCAACTGGTAGCTTCAACTGGTACCTTTAACTGATAGCTTCAACTGGTAGCTTTAACTGATAGCTTCAACTGGTAGCTTCAACTGGTAGCTTCAACTGGTAGCTTTAACTGATAGCTTTAACTGGTAGCTTCAACTGGTAGCTTCAACTGGTAGCTTCAACTGATAGCTTCAACTGATAGCTTCAACTGGTAGCTTTAACTGATAGCTTCAACTGGTAGCTTTAACTGATAGCTTCAAATGGTAGCTTCAACTGGTAGCTTCAACTGGTAGCTTTAACTGGTAGCTTTAACTGGTAGCTTCAACTGGTAGCTTTAACTGGTAGCTTCAACTGGTAGCTTCAACTGGTAGCTTTCACTGGTAGCTTTAACTGGTAGCTTTAACTGGTAGCTTCAACTGGTAGCTTTAACTGGTAGCTTCAACTGGTAGCTTTCACTGGTAGCTTAAACTGGTAACTTAGAATATTTATAAACCACCTTCTACTTAATTCAGGGTCGGTTGGAAATCCATGAAAACGTAAATAAAGTGTATCATAGTATTGTTTTATTTGTGTCTTAAGTAGACTTTGGCTTTTATAGCAGTCATAGTAACTGAAAGCGAAAAAAAAGAGCCTTATTTGCGCATGAGGTTGTGACGTCAGCCCGGCAGCTATGAGATGTGTTTAAGCCATTGGTGCTTCTAGCACCCCCACAGGCCTCAGGGTGAACTACAGCCAGTCCCCGCGGTTCTGTAGAGTCGTGGACCCGTTGGGACCGACTCTGCGGTTCTGCCTGGTGGAATCAAACTCATTTTCGTTTGGGGCCAAATCAAGACCCTGGAGGCTCTTAAAGGGCCGGTCCACAAACTGCTAACATATCAATCCTTCAATTTAAATATTATTGAACATCTTTTCAGTCCCTCCAGAATCTCATAATATTGTACTTTCAATGTTTGTACAATAAAAAATCCAAGTGTTTGTGTTATTAATTTGGAAATTTTGAAGTATTTGCACTTATTTATGACAAGGTTTTATGACATAAAATCTGCCCAACAAAGGCTGAGGCAGCTGTTTAGTACAAGAAAGTTTTTTGAGAAAAATTTGCAATGAATTCCTGATCATGTAAAGTTTGATGATTTTACATCAATTTCCACAGTAATTGTCAATAAACTGGAGGAACTGATTGGTATAAATTAATAAACAGATAAAACCTGCATTGACTTTATTAATAACATAATGTTTCAGCACACTTGAGTTTAGTCCATGAAAAGCTTTGTTGGGGCTTCAGATGTGACGGATCTGGTCTGAAACCCCTGCTGGGCTCAAACTAAGTTTATTGTTGTTACTGAAGTCGAGCGAGTCGGGTAAAAAAAATCCACTTGGTGTTTATTGTTGTAAAACAAATATGAAAAACGTGAGATAAAAATGAAAAAATGAGAAACAAAAGTTGGAGAGAACGTTTTGACTTCAAAATTAAAGTTTTGATAAATATGGCAATTTAATTTTGTTGAATTTTGCTATGAAAATATTTGCTATGTATTTATAATATTTTTGGAACATATTTTTGGGTGGAAATCTGTTTTATTTCAGAGTTTGTTTAAGTATTAGGTCGTGTTGAGCTGGATTATTAAAATACTGCACCGTAAATACAGATGAGGCTCATCAGTGAATCCAGCTGGAAACTTTCTGCACAAGAATCAAAATCTAACAAACTTGTCGGCTGCGGTCCTGATTTTGTTCTGCAGTAAATATGAAGCTGTGGTTCTGACCCGTTCTCTGGTTCCTGTCTCGTAGATCCGTCGGGTTGGTGGTTCGGCCGGCTGCGGGGCAGAGAGGGGATGTCCCTGGAAACTACGTGGAGAAGCTCTAGACCTGGGTCGGGGTCAGAGGTCAACCATCAGGAGACACTTGGAGTCAAACACACAATGTTCTGGTCTGTTTCGTGGGCCTGGTCGGTTCTGATGAGCGGTTCTGTGAAGGAGTCGTTCCATCAATGTTGACATCAGTGTTAGCATCTTGCTCCTCCTTCAGGCCTCAAACGTTTTATCTTCATCACAGTTTTTCTGTCTGATGAATCATAAATTTAACTGAACCAAGTTCTGGTTCTGGACCGGCTGGTCCAGCATCAATTTACAAACATGTTTAACGATCAGATTTATGGTCTGCTCTGTTTCATCCTTCAGTGTCTGTCTGATTTCAGCCATTAATGGAGGCGGAGGTGGCACTACATTACCCAGAGTCAGTTGGAAGGAGTGCTGCCTTCAAGTGCTGCTGGAAATTAGACGTCTGATCAGTCGTGATTTTTATACAGTCTGAATATTTCATATTAGCGCACATGTTGTAAATTAATCCTTTAAACTCAGAACAGATTTTAGATTAGAATCCGTATTCTGACCAACAAATTAAATAAAATCTGATAAAAATCTGTCGACTCTGTTTTTGTTTCTCTGAGACTAAAGAAAAAGTATTGAACAGAATTTACTGTAGTCCCGGTGCTGCCTGCAGGCGGCGCTGCAGCCTCAGTCAGACTGACTCCTTTTCATTAGTCAGATTGAAGAGTCGTCGGCCTTCATGGCCCCCTGCTGCGACCACAAGAAAACCCAAATGTTTTCTGTTCTGTGGGAAGTTGGGAAGGTTTCTTTTGTCGTTTTCAGGTGTTGGTATATTTGATTCAATCTTTTTCTGTTGTTTAAAATATTTAATGTTTGTAAATTGTCTGTGGCCTGAGATTCTTAGGGAACAGTTGTGCTGTTCGCTGAAGGGAAACTTCAGTGATGAATTTTGTCGTATCGCTCCTGGTCTCTGGACAAATCTGTTTACGTTTGCCCTCTGACCTTTTGTGTTCTGACCACTTTATATTTGAACATGTTTTATCTGACAAATATTAATGCGAGGCGACTTCCTGTTCTGAGCAGCTAGGGGTTCTGGTCCAGTAGTTCTCCAGAACGTGTTTCTGTTTTCCGAGCCTGGAGTGAGGCAGTGAAGCCGCCTTGACCTTTCACCCTGTTCTGTGCTAACGGTCGCCTCCTGCAGTGGGGAGTTTACCCGCTCACGTTCCGGTTCGAACCCCCCGCCAGGCGAGCCCGCGGTGCCCGTTAACGGCTGGGTTCGGTCGCTTCAGCAGAACCGGGGCGGTACCGCCTGGAAGCTAACGGCTAACAGATGGAGGAGTTTCTGCGGAGCTGCCGGCGGATCCTACAGGTACCGGAACCGTCCTTCGACCCAGTCCCGCTAAGGTTCGGCCGCGGAGCGGTACCGGGCCGCGCAGCGGTACCGCCGCAGCGCCGCTTTTATTTGATTTACTGAAATAAACCGATAAGCTGGTGTCACTTCCGCCTACACCGATCACTTTCAAAATAAAAGTCCCAGTCATGGTTTAAGAATTAACAACGGGAACCAGAACCGAAAAAAGAATTGGTACCGTTTTCCTGCAGCTGTAATAAGATTCAGAATAATGCATAAAAATTATGCATTTTTCAGTTTTTGTACGTCATAGAAACGTCATGCAGAGTTTTTCTTTATCTTTCTAACATTTCATTCTGGTTTGTTTTTTATACATGTTGCTGTAAGTTCAGTGTTTTATTCTTCTTCTGTGGTTTGCTCTAATAACGATAACTGTCTCTTTCATAAATCACCCATAAATGCAACCAATCACCTGATTGGTCCAGCTCAGCCACACCTGGAGAATTAAAGGTGCATTCAGACCAACCCAGGATCAGGATCAGAATCAGTCTGTTTGTCTAGGACAGAGCTGGGCAAGTCCAGGCCTGGAGGGTCTCCTGCAACTTTACTTAACACACCTGAGTCAAATAATGAGGTCATTAGCAGGATTCTGGAGAACCGGACTGGATTGGACTGGACTGAGGAGGTGATTCAGCTGATGGACCAGGACTGCCCTCCAGGACCAGGACTGCCCTCCAGGACCAGGACTGCCCTCCCCCGGGTCTGAATGCAAGTTTGAATTCCAAAATGGACTCAAAACCGAACTGTCTTGGTCCGGTTCTAGTGGACTCTAAAGCGGTCTGAATGCAACTGACCAGAGACGCTTCAGCAGCAGGAAGTTAGCGACGGTGCAGGGCATTCTGGGTAATATATTGCTCTCAGTTGTCATATCGACGGGTTTGCGTGCCGACACCAAGCAAGGAAAAGCAAAATATAAATGATCTGAAGTTGTTTTACATTTGATCAGCTTATTGTCCCGTTGCCATGGCGCTCTGCAGCCGCTGTCATTTTTAACCCTTTAATAAAAACTGAACTAATTACCTGAATGTTTGATCATCATCATCAAACAGGATGGAGCAATTTGCTTAGTTCCTGCATCTTGACAGAAACCAGACCCGGATTTATATTAGATTTATATCTATAAACTGTTTACAGATTTATATCTATAAACTGTTTACAGATTTATATCTATAAACTGTTTACAGATTTATATCTATAAACTGTTTACAGATTTATATCTATAAACTGTTTACAGATTTATATCTATAAACTGTTTACAGATTTATATCTATAAACTGTTTATATCTATCAGAAATAAAGGCGCTGCCATCGTTCTGTGATTCCTGCTCCAGATGGTTTAGTTTGCTCCATCAACAAACTAATAATGTAGATCAATGAAGAAATCCTAAAATCTGACACCGCTCCGTTTTCTTTTTGTGAAGAAGAAAGTGGCTGGTCTTCTTCAGAGGGTTGGAGTCGATTCCTTCAGTAGTTGTAGGTGCAGCGCCCCCACAGGCGACGGGGGGAACAGCTTTTTCACTTAGTTTCAGTGCAGTGTGAATGCGAACTACAGTTCTGAAAAGGTAACAAATGTTGCAACTTTAGTTCCCAATAGAACCGAGTCCACCGGACCATTCGGTCTGAATGCACCCTGAGAAATCACTTCAACGGTCCCACACATCAGAACCAGATCCCAGCCTGGTTCTGGTTGTGACTGCTGTGTCTCGGTTCTGCAGGAGAACCCGGACCGGGCCGGTCCAGACGTCCACGTGGTTCTGGGGAACGAAGCCTGTGATGTTGACTCCATGGTGTCCGCCATGGCCTTCCTACTTCCTGTTTAAGGTGAGGAGTCGCCCAATCAGCTGCCAGACCTCAGTGTGCCGAGGTCACACTGTGTGTGTGTGTGTGTGTGTGTGTGTGTGTGTGTGTGTGTGTGTGTGTGTGTGTGTGTCAGACTGCAGGTGGTGACTCGCTGGTTCTGCCCCTGATGAACATCCGGCAGTCAGACTTGGCGCTGCGGTCCGACAGCGTGTTCTTGCTGCGTCGCGCCGCTCTGCCGCAACACCTGCTGCTGTTCCGGGACCAGCTGGACCTGCGGGCGCTGCGGCGCGCCGGCCGCCTGCGGCTCACCCTAGTGGATCACAACGTCCTGCCCAGGTGAGCTGCAGAAGGGTCCCTTGATTCTGCCTGGATACCATGAACTCATCATGACCCCGGCAGGTGCTGCAGCCGCAGGGCCCTGAACGCCTCGCCTCCACAGCTGAGTTCTGATCCTCTTTCTCCTGCAGTTCAGACACTGACCTGGAGGGGGCAGTAGTGGAGGTGCTTGACCACCGTCAGGCTGAGAGGACACCCTCCCCAACCTGTCCCGTTACCGTGGAGATGGTAGGATCCTGTGCTACCTTGGTAACCGAACGCATCATCAAGGAGGCTCCACAGATTCTGGACCAACAGCTCGCCCTCCTACTTTACGGTACATACCTGGACACACACACCTGGACACACACACCTGGATACACACACCTGGATACACACACCTGGATACACACACCTGGATACACACACCTGGACACACACACCTGGATACACACACCTGGACACACACACCTGGATACACACACCTGGATACACACCTGGATACACACACCTGGACACACACCTGGATACACACACCTGGACACACACACCTGGACACACAAACCTGGACACACACACCTGGACACACACACCTGGATACACACTGCTGGACACACACACCTGGATACACACACCTGGATACACACACCTGGATACACACACCTGGACACACACACCTGGATACACACCTGGACACACACACCTGGACACACAAACCTGGACACACACCTGGACACACACACCTGGATACACACTGCTGGACACACACACCTGGATACACACACCTGGATACACACACCTGGACACACACACCTGGATACACACACCTGGACACACACACCTGGACACACAAACCTGGACACACACACCTGGACACACACACCTGGATACACACAGCTGGACACACACACCTGGATACACACACCTGGACACACACACCTGGACACACACACCTGGACACACACACCTGGACACACACACCTGGATACACACACCTGGACACACACACCTGGATACACACACCTGGATACACACACCTGGATACACACACCTGGACACACACACCTGGATACACACACCTGGACACACACACCTGGACACACAAACCTGGACACACACACCTGGACACACACACCTGGATACACACAGCTGGACACACACACCTGGATACATACACCTGGATACACACACCTGGACACACACACCTGGACACACACACCTGGATACACACAGCTGGACACACACACCTGGATACATACACCTGGATACACACACCTGGACACACACACCTGGACACACAAACCTGGACACACACACCTGGACACACACACCTGGATACACACAGCTGGACACACACACCTGGATACACACACCTGGATACACACACCTGGACACACACACCTGGATACACACACCTGGACACACACACCTGGACACACAAACCTGGACACACACACCTGGACACACACACCTGGATACACACAGCTGGACACACACACCTGGATACATACACCTGGATACACACACCTGGACACACACACCTGGACACACACACCTGGACACACACACCTGGACACACACACCTGCCTGACCAGATTCTGAGGGCATATCTGATTAGAAGCTGTTCTGAACCTTGTGTGTGTGAGCAGCCACAGTGGTGCTGGACTGTGTCAACATGGCTGCCGCTGCTGGTAAAGTGACTCCTAAAGACAGCTGCTACGTTGCTGAGCTGGAGGCGCGATTCCCCTCTCTGCCACCAAGGGGCGCTCTGTTCCAGGAGCTGCAGAAGGCCAAGTTGGACGTCTCAGGTGAGCCTCGGTGTTAGCTAGCACTCTCAGTGTTTGCCAGTAGTTAGAGCAGTGTTCTGTCTGCAGGTCTGAACATGGAGCAGATGTTGTTAAAAGACATGAAAACTGTTTCAGGAAGTCTCAACGTCGCCCTTCCTGTTATCTACCTCACTCTGGAGGTAACACCTGAACTGTACACAGAAGTGCATTCATACACAGCAGCAGTACTGTGTGAGTGCCAGCAGGGGGCCCTGTTGCAGCTCTTTCCCTCAGCCTTGTTGTGTTGCAGGAGCTGCTGCAGAGGGCGGAGTTGGAGGCGGAGCTTTCAGCTTTCTGTCACAAGTCAGGATTTGATGTGCTGCTGCTGATGACGATCTCCTTCACTGAGAGCGAGGAGCCAATCAGAGAGCTCGCTGTGTTCAGCCACAGCAGCACCTGCAGGGAGCAGGTATCACATGTTACACACTGGAAGTACCATAGTACTGTCACTATGGAAACCTGGTAGTTGTAGTTCTCCATCAGTAGACTCTGCTGGTTGTGGTTGCCATGCCAACCATGACGCTCTCCTCCAGGTGAGTGTCATGGTTGCCATGCCAACCATGACGCTCTCCTCCAGGTGAGCGCTTACTTGCAGCGGGCCCAGAGCCCCGCCCTCGGCCTCAGCCCGCCCCCTGCCTCCACCCTCTGATCTCAGCGTTCCATCAAGGTGAGGCCTTCACCTGGCTCTCCGGGGAGGGGCGGAGCTTGAGGTGCGTAACAGTTGTGTGTGGTTGCCAGGTAACGCGCTGGCGTCCAGGAAGAAGCTCCTCCCCCTGGTCCAGGACTTCCTGAAGGAGTGTGATGGCGCCATTTGCCTGGGAGACGCGGAAGAGGAGCCGGCGGTGCCGCCCACGCCCACAAACAGCCTGGTGGACAGCTGCCCTCTGGACGGCGGCCTGCCGCGCATCACCGCCGAGGAGCTGCAGGGCAAGTTCGATGACCTCTAACCTCACCTCTGTTACCACGGCAACGACGCTGGAAAATGGAGATGCAGCATCAGAACACAAAGTACGGTCAAGAATCTTTTCAAACTCGCATCAATCTGGCGGGTCCAACAGAACCTACTGGATCGGCCAAAGAGCAGCGGAGAGACGTTCTGTCCCAACCCTTCAGAATAAAAGCCATTATATCATAAATTAAATAAACTTTTCGAAATTAAAGCCTTTATTTCCTGTTTTGTAACAAAGGGCCGTAACGACAGGAAGTCGGTGTTCAGAACTCTGTTCACAACAATAAAAGCTTGTCAGGTTGGTTCTTAAGAAAACCTGTCACAGTAAAAGTCTCTAAGATCGGTTCCTTCACAATAAAAGCCTGCCACAGGTTAGAAGTTCTAAAGCAGTATGTGGGTGGTTCTGTTTGACCTTTGACCTGAGGAGAACCTTGGTTGTAGTTTTGGCCCGTCTCAGAGAAACGTCTTATTGGATCAGAGTTTTTCTGCAGCTCCAGATCTGCACTCTGATTGGCCGATTTGGATTGAATAGATGACCCGGTTCACCACCAGAACCGCCAATCAGATCTGGATCTTTCTGGGTTCTGTGGAGAAACTTTGTGTCTCAGTGAAAGCTACTTCCTGTTCCTGTCTGGAAACGCAGCACGTTTCACAATGAGGCAGAGAGGAGGCTTTTATTATGAAACACAAAGAGGAACCCTCTTTCGCTTCAGTGACAGGTTTCCATCTGCAGCTCAACCTGTAAGCTCTGTTTCACCTACAGACCCAGGTCCAAACGGTCGGCCCCAGTCCACCTGATCCAGCCTCAGAACCTCACCAGACCCAACCTTCGTGGCTCAGAACCAGAACCAACCAGGACTGCAGCAGAATGTTCTCACCGGATCCGGCTGAGCTGCAGCAGAGACCAGAACATGTGCTGGTTCTGAACGTCCGGTCTTGACGTTCTGGACCGGACGTTTCGATCTGGAATCCAACCAGAACACAAAATCTGAACCGACAGGCTTTTGGACCCTGCAGCTCCTCCTGCTGATTGGTTAATGAAGCTGCAGCTGACGCCCCGCCCCACCTGTCTGCAGCGACCAGGTGAGCCTGGACCAATCAGAGAGCGGCTCTGCCCTGCTATGCAGTCGGACCTGCTGGGCGAGTCAGACAGGAGAGAGAGAGAAGGAGGAACACACACACACACACACACACACACACACACACACACACCGGCGGCCGGTCATACATGCAGAGCAGACACCCCGTGACATCACTGTGACATCATGAACTCCCCTGCTGGGCAGATGGACGGGACCACCAAGGACAGGTGAGCCCGGTTCTGACCAGCAGAACCTCAGAGAGAGAGAGAGTGTGTGTGTGTGTGTGTGTGTGTGTGTGTGTGTGTGTGTGTGTGTGTGTGTGTGTGTGCTTCCTGTTCCTGCTCACAGAGGAAGTTGGTTCTTCCCGTCTGGCATGGAAGGCTTCACTGCCTTGGTTCTGATCCAGTTCTGGTCCTCAGCAGAAGAACCGGGTCTGTGTGGATTATGTCACTGTTTGGAAAGTCAGCACCTGATTGGTTCAGGTCCGTTTATACTGCAAGCAGAACAGTGGTTCTGGACCTGCCGCTCTGACTCCGGGTCAGAGCGGTGCTGGGTCACTGGTTCCTTGACTCCAGAACCTGCAGAATCTTTCAAATCCAGTGAAATCCTCCAGAAATTCCTGACGGTCCAGAGCGTCCCGTGGGACACCTGGACGTCCACCTGTCCACTAACTCTAGTTGTCATTGACTGTCTCGGATGTTAAGCGTTAAGCCCCGCCCCCTTAACACATGTGGGTTTTTCCCAGCCGGACCCTGAAGGCAGCGCGACAGAAACATGAAGCAGGCTCTCACCTGGCTGGGCCTCAGTGTGTGTCAGGAACAATAGGCCCCGCCCTCCTCACCTGCTCAGGTGTGTCAGTCTGAGCCATCGGGCCGGTTCCTGCTGAGCCAGAGAAGCTTCTCATCTGGAGAACGGGACCGGGTCGGTTGCACGGAACCATAGGAGTGAGTCTTGGTACCGGTGGTCCTGTGGACCGCATGTGGGTCACCCTGTTCCTCTGGGGACAAATGTCCTTGATGGAAGCTGGATCTGATCGGGTCGGGTCCAGTCAGTCACAGAGTTGGTTTACTGGGTCCGGTCCGGTCCGGTCCGGTCCGGTCGGCTTAGGTCCAGTTACTCAGATGTTGTTTTCTTCCTGGTTTTATGTCTTTGGTTTTCTGTGGTTCTGGTTCTGAACATGTTGACCCAGTTATCCATCAGAAAAGGGACTCTGTGACTGGATGTTTCTTAGGAAATGGACCAACCAGAGAGCATTCTCGGTGACATCATCAGCTGCGCGCTAACTGTGTGTGTTCGGCCCCTGCAGTGCGGCTGAGGAAACCCTGCGGCCCGGCAGCAACCAGGACCTGGAGCTGAGGGACGAGTGGCTGGACGACGGCTTCCCCAGGTAAGCCCCGCCTCCAGCAGAACCAGAACCGGCCCGCTTACTCAGCTTCAGGTCAGATGATGGCCACAAGCTGAGCAAGCATGTGGTGACAGTGGGCAGGAAGAACCTTGCAGCAGAACCAGAATTAAAAACGGTTCTGATCAGCATTACATCAAACCCTCTAGAACCTTCACTGGTTTTACTGGACTGGGTTCTGCTGCTGTTCTGTCATGACCCGGTGGTTCTGTTCTGACCCGGTCTTCAGGCCACTCCCGGAGGATGCTGAGGGTCCAGCAGGAGGCGCTGCTGATTCAGGTGAGTCTGGTTCTGGTCCAAACGGATGCCCTCGATCCATTGAACCGAAGCCCGATCCCCACCTCTCTTTAGCCCCGCCCACCAGCCAGACTCAGTCGGGCGGGGCCAGGGCCAGGAAGCGGCTGACGGCGCCCGCCCTCAGCGACCCGAGCAGCGACAGCTTCTCGGCGGCGGCATTATCCGGGACGCCGGACGACTCGCCGTCGCTGGACATCAACCTGGAGGCGCTGGAGACGCCGTCCGGCAGCGAGTCAGGGACGCTGCCGGACGGCGTGCACGACTTGGAGTGGGAAGGTGAGGCGGCGGGGAGGCGGAGCTAAAGCAGCCGCTGCTCAGACGCTGACTGCTGACCTCTTCCTGACAGACGACCTGCCTCAGATGGGGAGGGGCCGGTCCGTGGGCGTGGCGGAGCCCAGTGAGGGTCTGATGGAGCTGGACCAGGTGGACAACATGGCCGCCGGTGGAGGCGGTTCCATATCTGGACAAGAGTACCAGGTCAACATGAGCGTCCTGGAGCCTTACCTGCAGGTCTTGTCACATGGAGGTCAGAGGTCACACATACACCTGCAACTCACCTGCAGTACATCAAACACAGTAACTCACCTGCAGCATCTGAAACACAGGAACAGCTGCAACACCTGGAACCACCATAGAACACACCTGTAGCATCAGATCAATATCTGTGTTCACCATGACAACAAAGTGAAATTACCTGTCCTTGGCAGGTTACTATGGAGACGGGATGAACGCCATAATTCTGTTCACTTCCTGTTACCTGCCAGAGAACACAGTGGAGGACTATGAGTATGTTATGGAGAACCTGTTCAGGTGTGTTTGGGTGTGGAGTCAGTGCAGCGCGTGACAGAAGCCCACCTGGACAGACAGGTGACCCGGCTCTCGTTCTCCTGCAGGTACATCGTGGGAACACTGGACCTGATGGTTTCAGAGAACTACCTGCTGGTCTACCTGTGCGCCATGGCTCCCAGGAACAAGCTGCCAGCCGTCAAGTGGCTCCATCAGTGCTACACTTCCATTGACAGGAGGTAGGATGGATTCCTCCGGCAGGGCGGTGCGGGCGGGTGGAGCTAGCTGCTCAGCAGGTGTTTCTGTGCAGGTTGAAGAAGGACCTGAAGGGCCTCCTGGTGGTGCATCCGGCCTGGTACATCAAGGCTCTGATCACACTGGTCAAGCCCTTCATCAGGTCTGCAGCGCACACACTGGTCCCACACACACAGACTGGTCCCCCACACACACTGGTCCCACACACAAACACATTGGTCCAAACACACACTGGTCCCACACACACAGACTGGTCCCACACACACTGGTCCACACACACACACACAGACTGGTCTAAACACACACTGGTCCACACACACACACACTGGTCCCACATCCACTGGTCCAAAACACACACTGGTCCCACACACACATTGTTCCCACACACATACTGGTCCAAACACAGACTCGCAATAAATAAGGCCAATATCTTCAGTGAGCCAAAACGTGTCTCTTTCCATCTTGGCATCATGATCAGAGAACTTATTATGACCTCTGACCTCACCTGTTTTCCACAGTGACAAATTTAGCAGGAAGATTCGATTCATTCAGAACCTGGAGCAGCTGTCGCAGTTCGTCCCCACAGACAGGCTGCAAATCCCAGAGGCAATCCGACAGTAAGAGCTGAAACATTCCTGAGCTAACACTGATCTATCGCTGAGCATTAGCTAATGCTGAGCTAACACTGAGCTATCGATGAGCATTAGCTAACGCTGAGCTAACGATGAGCTATCGATGAGCATTTGCTAACGCTGAGCTAACGCTGAGCTATCGATGAGCATTAGCTAACGATGAGCTATTGATGAGCTAACGCTGAGCTATCGATGAGCATTAGCTAACGATGAGCTATTGATGAGCTAACGCTGAGCTATCGATGAGCATTAGCTAACGATGAGCTATTGATGAGCTAACGCTGAGCTATCGATGAGCATTAGCTAACGATGAGCTATTGATGAGCTAACGCTGAGCTATCGATGAGCATTAGCTAACGATGAGCTATTGATGAGCTAACGCTGAGCTATCGATGAGCATTAGCTAATGATGAGCTATTGATGAGCTAACGCTGAGCTATCGATGAGCATTAGCTAACGATGAGCTATTGATGAGCTAACGCTGAGCTATCGATGAGCATTAGCTAACGATGAGCTATTGATGAGCTAACGCTGAGCTATCGATGAGCATTAGCTAACGATGAGCTATTGATGAGCTAACGCTGAGCTATCGATGAGCATTAGCTAACGATGAGCTATTGATGAGCTAACGCTGAGCTATCGATGAGAATTAGCTAACGATGAGCTATTGATGAGCTAACGATGAGCTATCGATGAGAATTAGCTAACGATGAGCTATTGATGAGCTAACGCTGAGCTATCGATGAGAATTAGCTAACGATGAGCTATTGATGAGCTAACGCTGAGCTATCATTGCTGCTACTGTTTTTCTGCTGTTATTTGTTGCTCGGCTCTTGTTCTATTTTACTCTCATTCTGCAGATCCTGATCTGCTTTTTGTTATTCTGTTTGTGTCCATGAACAGAAGAGCTACATGCTACTGTTTAGCATGTAGCTCGATTTATCTCTTCTGTCTGCTGTTCATGTGTTCACCTATTCCTCCAGTTGCTGAAAGTTTTTCCAGATCTTTGGTTTAGACGTTTTATTATTTGACCTTTCTCTCTCAGTGTTGTTTCTCCTGATACTTAAATCACAGATGAATTGATTTAAACTCGATGAATCGCTGTCTCCATCTGTCTCTAGTTCCTGTCTCATCTCTCTGTTCTTCATAGGTACGATGAGAAGCTGAGAAGATGACAACCTCAGATGACCTCTGAAGGATCAGACCGGATGAATGTGGAGGCTGAAGCTGTCAGCTTGCTGACCTTTGACCTGCTGGATGTACAGACGTACAGTCTGGTTTATTGTGCTGCTTTGTTTATGTTGGGAGTTTTTAAGGAACTCTTCCTGGGTCGGTTTTCCGGCACTCTTCATGGACTCACATTCAGGACTGGTCTTCATCAGCAGCTCCTCCTCTTCCTCCTTCACTGCCTTCTCTCTACTTAACATCAACTCGTTGTTTCATGGCAACGTTGGCCTCAGGACCACCATGAACTGTAGCAGCGCCAACATGAGGAATCTGGTTGATGTGGTTGGTTGTGGTCTGGGTCTATATCGGGTTTCATGTAGCAGGGGGCGGGGCGTTTGTGTAGGAGGTTCCTGATTGGTTATTCACCTGCTGCAGTAATAAAATATTTACAAGATGAATTCAAGTTCTGTCATTATATCACTGAGGGTAAAGGTCATTATATCACTGAGGGTAAAGGTCAGTATATCACTGAGGGTAAAGGTCAGTATATCACTGAGGGTAAAGGTCATCATATCATTGAGGGTAAAGGTCATTATATCACTGAGGGTAAAGGTCAGTATATTAGTGAGGGTAAAGGTCATCATATCATTGAGGGTAAAGGTCATCATATCACTGAGGGTAAAGGTCATTATATCATTGAGGGTAAAGGTCAGTATATCATTGAGGGTAAAGGTCATCATATCATTGAGGGTAAAGGTCATCATATCACTGAGGGTAAAGGTCATTATATCATTGAGGGTAAAGGTCATCATATCACTGAGGGTAAAGGTCAGTATATTAGTGAGGGTAAAGGTCATCATATCATTGAGGGTAAAGGTCATCATATCACTGAGGGTAAAGGTCATTATATCATTGAGGGTAAAGGTCATTATATCACTGAGGGTAAAGGTCATTATATCACTGAGGGTAAAGGTCATTATATCACTGAGGGTAAAGGTCAGTATATTAGTGAGGGTAAAGGTCATCATATCACTGAGGGTAAAGGTCATTATATCATTGAGGGTAAAGGTCATCATATCATTGAGGGTAAAGGTCATTATATCACTGAGGGTAAAGGTCATTATATCACTGAGGGTAAAGGTCATCATATCATTGAGGGTAAAGGTCATCATATCATTGAGGGTAAAGGTCATTATATCACTGAGGGTAAAGGTCATTATATCACTGAGGGTAAAGGTCATCATATCACTGAGGGTAAAGGTCAGTATATTAGTGAGGGTAAAGGTCATCATATCATTGAGGGTAAAGGTCATTATATCACTGAGGGTAAAGGTCAGTATATCACTGAGGGTAAAGGTCAGTATATTAGTGAGGGTAAAGGTCATTATATCATTGAGGGTAAAGGTCAGTATATCACTGAGGGTAAAGGTCATTATATCACTGAGGGTAAAGGTCAGTATATTAGTGAGGGTAAAGGTCATTTTATCATTGAGGGTAAAGGTCATTATATCACTGAGGGCAAAGGTCATTATATCATTGAGGGTAAAGGTCATCTTATCATTGAGGGTAAAGGTCATTATATCACTGAGGGCAAAGGTCATTATATCATTGAGGGTAAAGGTCAGTATATCATTGAGGGTAAAGGTCATTATATCACTGAGGGTAAAGGTCATTATATCACTGAGGGCAAAGGTCAGTATATTAGTGAGGGTAAAGGTCATTATATCACTGAGGGTAAAGGTCATTATGTAAAGGTCATTATATCACTGAGGGCAAAGGTCATTATATCACTGAGGGTAAAGGTCATTATGTAAAGGTCATTATATCACTGAGGGCAAAGGTCATTATATCACTTAGGGTAAAGGTCAGTATATTAGTGAGGTTAAAGGTCATTATATCATTGAGGGTAAAGGTCATTATATCATTGAGGGTAAAGGTCATTATATCACTTAGGGTAAAGGTCAGTATATTAGTGAGGTTAAAGGTCATTATATCATTGAGGGTAAAGGTCAGTATATCATTGAGGGCAAAGGTCATTATATCACTTAGGGTAAAGGTCATTATATCACTTAGGATAAAGGTCAGTATATTAGTGAGGTTAAAGGTCATCATATCATTGAGGGTAAAGGTCATTATATCATTGAGGGTAAAGGTCATTATATCATTGAGGGTAAAGGTCATTATATCACTGAGGGTAAAGGTCATTATATCACTGAGGGTAAAGGTCATCATATCACTGAGGGTAAAGGTCATTATATCACTGAGGGTAAAGGTCATTATATCACTGAGGGTAAAGGTCAGTATATCACTGAGGGTAAAGGTCATTATATCACTGAGGGTAAAGGTCATTATATCACTGAGGGTAAGGTCATCATATCACTGAGGGTAAAGGTCATTATATCACTGAGGGTAAAGGTCATTATATCACTGAGGGTAAAGGTCATCATATCACTGAGGGTAAAGGTCATTATATCACTGAGGGTAAAGGTCATCATATCACTGAGGGTAAAGGTCAGTATATCACTGAGGGTAAAGGTCATTATATCACTGAGGGTAAAGGTCAGTATATCACTGAGGGTAAAGGTCATTTATCACTGAGGGTAAAGGTCATTATCACTGAGGGTAAAGGTCAGTATATTAGTGAGGGTAAAGGTCATCATATCACTGAGGGTAAAGGTCATCATATCACTGAGGGTAAAGGTCATTATATCACTGAGGGTAAAGGTCATTATATCACTGAGGGTAAAGGTCATCATATCACTGAGGGTAAAGGTCAGTATATCACTGAGGTAAAGGTCATTATATCACTGAGGGTAAAGGTCATTATATCACTGAGGGTAAAGGTCAGTATATCATTGAGGGTAAAGGTCGTTATATCATTGAGGGTAAAGGTCATTATATCACTGAGGGTAAAGGTCATCATATCACTGAGGGTAAAGGTCATCATATCACTGAGGGTAAAGGTCATCATATCACTGAGGGTAAAGGTCAGTATATCACTGAGGGTAAAGGTCATCATATCACTGAGGGTAAGGGTCATCATATCATTGAGGGTAAAGGTCAGTATATCATTGAGGGTAAAGGTCAGTATATCACTGAGGGTAAAGGTCAGTATATCATTGAGGGTAAAGGTCAGTATATCACTGAGGGTAAAGGTCAGTATATCATTGAGGGTAAAGGTCATCATATCACTGAGGGTAAAGGTCAGTATATCATTGAGGGTAAAGGTCATCATATCACTGAGGGTAAAGGTCATTATATCACTGAGGGTAAAGGTCATTATATCACTGAGGGTAAAGGTCAGTATATCATTGAGGGTAAAGGTCATTATATCACTGAGGGTAAAGGTCATCATATCACTGAGGGTAAAGGTCATCATATCACTGAGGGTAAAGGTCATCATATCACTGAGGGTAAAGGTCAGTATATCACTGAGGGTAAAGGTCAGTATATCATTGAGGGTAAAGGTCAGTATATCACTGAGGGTAAAGGTCAGTATATCATTGAGGGTAAAGGTCAGTATATCACTGAGGGTAAAGGTCAGTATATCATTGAGGGTAAAGGTCAGTATATCACTGAGGGTAAAGGTCAGTATATCATTGAGGGTAAAGGTCATTATATCACTGAGGGTAAAGGTCAGTATATCATTGAGGGTAAAGGTCATCATATCACTGAGGGTAAAGGTCATTATATCACTGAGGGTAAAGGTCAGTATATCAGTGAGGGTAAAGGTCATTATATCACTGAGGGTAAAGGTCAGTATATCATTGAGGGTAAAGGTCATCATATCATTGAGGGTAAAGGTCAGTATATCACTGAGGGTAAAGGTCAGTATATCATTGAGGGTAAAGGTCATCATATCACTGAAAGGTCCATCATATCACTGAGGGTAAAGGTCATTATATCACTGAGGGTAAAGGTCAGTATATTAGTGAGGGTAAAGGTCATCATATCACTGAGGGTAAAGGTCATCATATCACTGAGGGTAAAGGTCATTATATCACTGAGGGTAAAGGTCAGTATATTAGTGAGGGTAAAGGTCATCATATCACTGAGGGTAAAGGTCATCATATCACTGAGGGTAAAGGTCATTATATCACTGAGGGTAAAGGTCAGTATATTAGTGAGGGTAAAGGTCATCATATCACTGAGGGTAAAGGTCATTATATCACTGTATCAACCCCCTGTATATTATCGTTTCACGCATGCGGACAAGCAGGAGGGCAAAAACACAAATTTCTTTACGTGTCATTCATAGCTGCTTATGGATGACATTTTGTGTCCATTATTCTGTAAACTGAATTCAACTTGGAAATGTAAGTATTATTAATTTCGTGCTGTGCTCCACGCAGAGGGAAAACCAGTTAAAGTCCAACTCAAAACCATTTCTTTCTCGCTCTCAGTATTGGCCATCATTATAACAACATGTTTCCCTCACAGAGCAGAACATCAAGTCTGTTGCAGGAGTTAGGGTTCAGGATTATTGTTAGGATTCAGGATTATTGTTAGGATTCAGGATTATTGTTAGGATTCAGGATTATTGTTAGGATTCAGGATTATTGTTAGGATTCAGGATTATTGTTAGGGTTCAGGATTATTGTTAGGGTTCAGGATTATTGTTAGGATTCAGGATTATTGTTAGGATTCAGGATTATTGTTAGGGTTCAGGATTATTGTTAGGATTCAGGATTATTGTTAGGATTCAGGATTATTGTTAGGGTTCAGGATTATTGTTAGGATTCAGGATTATTGTTAGGATTCAGGATTATTGTTAGGATTCAGGATTATTGTTAGGGTTCAGGATTATTGTTAGGGTTCAGGATTATTGTTAGGATTCAGGATTATTGTTAGGATTCAGGATTATTGTTAGGATTCAGGATTATTGTTAGGGTTCAGGATTATTGTTAGGGTTCAGGATTATTGTTAGGATTCAGGATTATTGTTAGGATTCAGGATTATTGTTAGGATTCAGGATTATTGTTAGGGTTCAGGATTATTGTTAGGATTCAGGATTATTGTTAGGATTCAGGATTATTGTTAGGGTTCAGGATTATTGTTAGGATTCAGGATTATTGTTAGGGTTCAGGATTATTGTTAGGATTCAGGATTATTGTTAGGATTCAGGATTATTGTTAGGGTTCAGGATTATTGTTAGGGTTCAGGATTATTGTTAGGGTTCAGGATTATTGTTAGGGTTCAGGATTATTGTTAGGATTCAGGATTATTGTTAGGATTCAGGATTATTGTTAGGGTTCAGGATTATTGTTAGGATTCAGGATTATTGTTAGGGTTCAGGATTATTGTTAGGATTCAGGATTATGTTAGGGTTCAGGATTATTGTTAGGATTCAGGATTATTGTTAGGGTTCAGGATTATTGTTAGGATTCAGGATTGTTTGGCAATTATTAATAAGTGATTGATGTGGTACAAAGAGGAAATTATAAATATAATATTGTTG